AATTAAGTATATTAAAATTTTTTGTTACAAAAATTAAAAATTATTTTTGAAGAAATAAGTGTAAATAACTTTCTTTACATAATATAAAATTATTCTTACAGTATTATAGAAGCTATACTTACTAAACATTAAATAAAGCACATATTTAAAAAAAAAACATAATGTAAATAATAGCAAAAGGTGTTGTTACTAAAAACCTATAAATAAGACATTTTAAACAAAGCTTTCATAAACTGTAGAATTATTAAATTAATTTTGATTTCATTATATTATTATTTCGTTTATGCCTTTTTTTAAAAACGCAATTTCTCCATTTATGAATGAAGTTTTGATAAAATAATTAAATGTAAAATTGTAACTCATGCTGATTTTCAATTCCTTTAAAAGCAATTGACGATCACATACAATGTTTAACCAGCTCAAGTATAAGACCATGTATATACCATGTATATATGATGTATGAATGTAATTAAATGTTAATGAGTAATTAAATTTAGCAACTGAATTATTATATTAACTCAACATTCACCAATTGACCATTTACCATCTTATGAAATGTGTCAACATCGTCGTCAACGTGCAATTCCAAGTAAGTAAGTATGTAAGTACTATGCAGAGATGAGAAGATGGCTAGCGCAACTGCGGAGAGGGGTATTTCGCTTGCTCCGCCTGTCTCTATCTTTGATGTTCTCCAAGCCGCCACCTTAAAGTTTTTGGCGGTTCACGCTGACATAGTGGTAGAATTTCTATATCTGCGATGGATACATTTCAAGACGAGGGATACGCTCTAAGTCTACATTTACGCCAATGTTTTGAAGATTATCATTCTATCCCATTCAATTTCAACGTGTCTCGTTTGCTCTCTTTGTCACGCGATGCTACATGACTCGATTAGTAAATATGACCGCTTTGGCCAATAACAAAAATACATGTGTCCTGTCTTTATGATTGTGTAAAACAAAGTGGGCCTATTACATTATAACCAATTAGACCCATATTTTTTATGTTAGCCAATTTTTCATCTCTGTATAGTATGAATAGTATATCTATCGATTAATTAAAGAATGGTGGCTTGCAAAATTTATTACCAATATATAACTAGCCTTAATGCGGCCAAAAAAAACAGCAAAGTATAAAATATTGCATTAATATCGTTTATAAATTTAAAAATATTAAATGGGATGATTCTTCAATATCGGTGAATATATTAAAATAACACGATATTTCATTTTTACAAACAATCATCTTTTGCATTTATAATTACTTTTTCTTAATATCCTTCTGTGTCAAGAACGTATTGTATCATTTCGTTTTTTTTTTTTTTTAATTTATCTTAAACAATCATATTTTACTACAGTCGTTCCAGAGTATCATGATGAAACAACAATGATTTTTCCATTATATATTGTAACATATTATTAATGTTTGTACTGCTTTCTTTACTTGTACGCCAATACTTTGAAAAAATAAAAATTGTTTATTTCAATTAATAAAAAAGTTATTAAGTTTAAGTTTATGAATTTAATAAAGATTTTAAAATTTGCGGTAAGATCATATATTTCCATAATATAATAAAGTTGACTATTTGAATATATATATTTAAATCGTTGCTGTTTTACAATGTAAATAAGAATTATAAACAATGTATGACGTTTTATAATCAAAAAATTAGGGAGTAAATAAGATTGGGGATCGAAGATTCCAATGAATAAAAATGTTTATAGTACCTCTATATCTACTGGTTTTACCCCTACTCTTTATCCGTTTTCAGGCGAATAGAATAAGGTCTATTCAAAAGGCGGCTAAGAAATATCCAATCCAATGTTGCGTAGTATCGGTATGTTCAGGACGTCGCTCACAGAATCAAGATGGCATCCGAAACTGGTACAAGTATCGTGTCAAATGAACGATGTGATGTAAATAATACGATTCAGCAAGTATTCGATACATTACAAACGGAAACGATCAGTGTAAAAGTGTCGAGAGCAACGTGGAGTAGTGCTACTAAGGAGACAAACGAACTTTCGGACAATTTCGCTTTACATTCAATCAGGACGCCCACGATATGCCCTACAGCGTCATCGTTTAATACAAACGCGGAAGGGAAGGAATTACAAAGAATTGTGAGTTTCATGAGCTCTTCTGGTGATGTGGAAGAACGTATTAATTATAAATTTGCTGTCAGCGCTAAATTACACACACCATCCTTGGAACCGCACAGTATGTCCAATCAAAGGAATGATCTGGATGATGTTACTTGTCTTTCTGAACAACCAGACGGTAATGTCATTCAACTTCATTTGATATTATGCAAATAGTCAAAAACCTATACTTATTACATGCAAAATATAATGCATTGAAAAGTTCTGTGTGATGTGAAACTTATGTTTATATTTATATGAGAGAAACTATTGTTTATAGTAACTGTAATGGACTTTAATAACAATATATATAATTTAAAAAAGATTTAAATATAGTTACAATTAGTTTAATAATGTTTACCTCTCAATAATAAATATTCACATTGTGAATATTCATATGTTTAATTTATGATATTCATATTTTCCACATTAACATTAAAATAAGACATTTATATAAAGACATCTTTTATATAAAGCAAGAAACATAAATAGTAAATTGTTGATCAAATTAACAACTTAATTTTTTATTATAAAGTTAATATTGTGTATTATAGGGAATCCAGATCATTGCAACAATGAATTAATAAAAACTTTAGTAGAACCAGTTCAACATGTTATTCATGTATGTATGTTTATTGTTTATATCTATGAAATTTATATAAAAGCAATAAGTAATAAAACTTCCATTATTATTAATCTAGTGTAAAATATTTTTATGATTTTTTCTTATTTCTTAGGTTGATTCAGAAGGCAACAAAGATACAATGTTATCTAATGGAATAGATACAGTGCAAACAGAACTAGAAGATTGTGTAAATTTTGAACATGGTAACACACCTCAATTAGGGGAAAGTCCTCAAAGTAGTGGCGAAGTGATTAGTAGTCCACGAAGTCCAGATTATCCTCCAAGAGTTTCTGATAGTCCAAATAGTCAAAATACAGCACTTCCCAGTAGTATAACATCACCAATTACAACTTCAATTATTGTAATGGATACAGCAAAATGTGATGGAGAAAATACAAGTAATTTAACTGCTAAGGTTAACAAAAATCTTTCTTATTCATTTTGTGGGCATTTAGAACAAATTGAAGAACAAGTCCTTGTTACACAAATAAAATCAAATGAAGAGCAAACAGACAACAACATGGACATTATTCACAGAGATATAAAACCAGAATTTAATGAAGTAAAAACAGAATTGGTAGATTCTCAAGAACAATTAAGCATAATTAAGTTGGATTGGGCTAGTGATAGTATACCTACTGCAATAGTTGGACAAACAGATATTACATTACCTCATGATAAACCAATACATTGTATTGGCACCACATCTTCAAGTTCCAATTCTAAATCATATTCGTCTTCAAGAGAAAAACGTAGTAAGGAACATGGTGAACGACGTTGCTGCTCACGATGTTATAAACGTAGTAAAATAAAACGAGCAAGTATTGGTGTACAATGCAAACGGGATCGTGGTATAGTTTCATTAAGCAGTAAACCGTTATTTCATCCATTCTCTAAGTTTACAAATGAAAATCTCAGGTTAAATTTACAAACAAAAAATTATAAAATGCTTCATAATACACCAGTTAAAAGTGAATTATTAGAAGGCCTAAAGTACAAGAAGTTCATTCATATAGAAACTTATCCTAATGGTGGTGCAACTGTTGTCCATATGTATCAAGATGAAATTGACACATTATCTTATGAGCAAGTAGAAGAATTAGCTCAAGAATATTTCAAAGTATGTACAAATAAGTGTAATTTAAAATTATATCAATAAAAGTTAGGAGTTACTATCTTCCATCTAACTGTCTTAAGTAATTAAACTTTAATAGCATCAAGTATCAAACATGTATTCAAATAAATATAGTTGGTTAACATGGCCTATTATAATTGTTTTAAGTGGTACAAAATATCAATTTATAATTGCATAATGCAGTAACTAAATAAAAATATTTCAATATTATAGGTAGTTTTTGGTGAAGATGAAAATGGTAATGCTCATCATGTCATGGGCATAGTACATAATGCTGCAGCGTATCTTCCTGATCTTCTGGATTACATGGCAGACAATTATCCTACGTTAACTGTTAAAAATGGTGTACTAGGAAGAAACAGTGATATAGAAACTACAACTATGGTCCAGTACAAAGAACAAGTGTGTAAAGCTTATAGTAATGGTACTATCAGGTATGGACCTCTGCATCAAATAAGTCTCGTAGGAACTGTTCATGAAGAAGTTGGTGGATACTTCCCAGATCTTCTACATAAATTAGAAGAAAATCCATTTTTAAAACTGGTAAGCATTAATTTAAAAGATTTACATTTTTATGTAAATATTTTAAATTTATCATATATGCAACATAAATACACATTTATACATGGTCCTTTTAGACAAGACTTCAGCTTTTATAATCTAACAAGTATTTACCAGTCCGAGTAAAAAATACTTGATAAATATGAAACCACAAATTAAACCTTTTAGCAGAATTAGAAGCAATTTTTTATGTAGTTATAACTATGAGTAACTGATTTGCCTGTATTCATTATGAGTATGCCGAGGATGAGAAAAGATTATGTCGGTATACTTTTACTTTGACATAATGTAGGAGTAATCAATCACTTGCTTTATTAATATCAAAAATCACTTCTAACTCTGACAAGATTATTTTTCTAATGCATGTTTATTAAGAATTTTTTACCGAGCTTAATGACTCGATATATCCGGAAATATTTAGATAATATCCTGTGTAATGAAGTCAACAATCTGTTATTATCATTTTTTATTTTAGACCATGCCTTGGGGTCCATTGTCCGTTGTAAAGATGGATACTCCCCAAGAATCAAACGATGGTCCGATTCTATGGATCAGACCAGGAGAACAATTAGTTCCAACAGCAGATATAAATAAAAGTCCATATAAAAGGCGTAGAACAGGCATTAATGAATTACGAAATCTACAATATTTACCACGTCTTAGTGAAGCGCGTGAATACATGTTCGAAGATCGTACTAAGGCACATGCTGATCACGTGGGTCATGGATTAGATAGAATGACAACAGCAGCAGTTGGTATATTGAAAGCTGTTCATGGCGGACAACCTTCAGAATATAACAGAATTACAAAAGATGTTGTGGCTTTCTACGCTGGTGATTTTCCTGAATTAGTCGAAAAATTGCAACTAGATCTTCATGAACCACCAATAACACAATGTGTACAATGGGTTGAAGACGCCAAATTAAATCAATTACGTAGACAGGGTATTCGCTATGCTAGAATAAATTTATACGATAACGACATTTACTTTCTACCACGTAATATAATCCATCAGTTTAGAACGGTGTCCGCAGTCTCAAGCATAGCATGGCATGTCAGATTAAAACAGTATTATCAAGAATCCCAACACAATTCAAGTGTAAGGCATGGACGTGTTGGTAACGAACATCGTATGAAAGAAAAGAAATCACTGGAAACTGTAAATATAGGAGACGAACAAAAAGAAAATACAAATCGTCAGCGTGTAGAGCAAAAACATTCTATTGATTCGCTCGAAGAGAAAAAAGCAAAAGAAAGAGCTGCTGAATATCAAGGCAATTTAAAGAAATCTGATCATCATGGAAAGCGAAAAGAAGACCGTAAAAATAGAGATCATACAAGACATTCTTCCATTTCAAGCAAGAGGAAGGATTCTACAGAAAATAATGATAATTGCTCAGATCTTTTTAACAGTAAATCTGCAAAAAATAATACAATTGAGCAAAAACAAAACAATGAGAAAAGAGACGATAAAAGATCCGAAAGAAGACACGAAGATCGCCGTCGGTCCAGTGAAAAATCCAGTCATTCTCATAGCAGCAGTAGTAGCAGTAGTAATAGTAGTCATTCTGGAGACAAGAAAAAATATGACTGCAATAGTCATAAAGTAGATCACCATCATCGGAGTCACCATAATCGATCTGGCAGTAATAATACACCCAACAAAGAAAGTATTTCAAATGTTATTGAACCTAAAGCCGCGAATAAGTTCAACACCTCGGCGTTTTCGAAAGAAAACAAAGGGCAATTAAGTTCGTCAGAGCTTGAAAATTCCGATTGCAACACCGTTATTCTTGAACAAGACGTGTTAACGCAGCGACAACTGATAGCAAAAACGTATGCAACGGAAGTTGTCGATAAGGCTTTAGAAACTGCAATATATAAATCGAAGACTGACGTGGAGGAAGTCTGCCAATCTTTACGAACTGGTGTTGCCGAAGCTTCAAAAGAAGTACTAGAAAGAATTCATAAAGAAAGTATCGAAATTGCTGAACAAAAGTACAAAGAAGATACAACAAAGGTAGAGCGATATTGTCAATTATTGGAAATAGAAACTACGTTGGCATTCACGTCAAAGATGGAATGTGCTACTGAAAACGCAGTAAAAGCACTAATTGAAATGGCCGAAGATGAAGCCAAGGAAAGATCAAAAGATGAGAAGGTTTACGTGTTAACTACTGGTAATACTTGTGAAGAAAGTTCAATTCCAACATCAAAAATTGCTAATTCTTCTTCTTGTTCTCCAGTAATATCTACATCTCCATTAATAGAAACTGAAAGACATGGTAGTAATAGCAGAAATGGTAGTAGTGATGAAAATTCATCAAAATTGTCGTTGGATATACATATAACGCATTCAGAATCTAAAAGAAAAAATAGGGATAATACAAATTCTAGAGGTCAGCGGCATAAAGATAGAAGAGATCGAGATAAACGTGATAGAGAACATAAGAGACATCATCATCGAAGCCCTCAGTGTAACAAGTCTGAAAATAAAGCCGGAGAAAATAGTAACAAAGAGGATTCACTGAAAATTATTTCGTTGCCCAAAAATTGTAACGTCTCTAGTAAAAGTTACAATCGTACGGATAATAAGGACAGTGAAAGGAAATTGGAAAAAAGAAGAGAGGGGCATCACGGCCATGGAAGAGATGGGCAGAAAAAATCATCCAGTAGTCGTTCATCGAAGGACGACACAGCGTCGAGTCGTTCTCATTCGTCAAGTTCGAATCATAAAAGAAAGTCAAGTTCATCCGAGGAGCATAAGGAACCGAAGAAAGCGTGTACTGAAAAGGACATTGTCACGACAACAGCAGCAGCAGAGCAAAATACTCTAGGCACTGCGATAACTCTGATTACAGTGTCAACAGTAGCTCAGTCAGCAACGACGAGTGCTGTCGTGTCAACGTGAAAAGGTGAAAATTATTTTAAATTGTAGTACAATCTGCTTATTAGGAATAAAAGTCCGCGCAGTCGAGTTTATGTGTTGACAATCTCGTACGTGTGGACTCTAACTGATTTGGACATAGTAAATTTACATTGTACATCCGAATTTACAGAAGTATGAGACGTGCGTTAAAATACGAAGTATAATAAGAATATATCGGACGTTCCCAAAGTAAAAAATAATTGCTATGTTTTATTCAAAGACCAGTTAGAACTGTTAATAATTGAGAATTTGCTGCATCATTGTTTTCATGCAATTCTACACGTTCTAGGCTTAGTAAGAGAATTTGAAGTACGAAAGTAGAGTTGTCTAAAAGCACTTTCTAATATTGAATCGCAAAAATTATTTTGCTATAAAATCTCTGAGCGTCTCATATACTGCTGGGAGTGAAAAGATAACTAAAAAAAAATATTTATAGAATAGGTGACCAATACGATATGTACAAATAAATTTTGTACAAGTTTGTGATCAGAAATTCGATCGGCACGTTAATGCTGAACATTGTATATAGATCAATACATTGCTCCATTCGAAGAATTGTGCAGCGAATCTTGTTTAAACTATATACATATGTACATATATAAGTGTATGTATGTAAGCATGTGGGTGTATGCGTGTGTGCGTGTGTGCGTGTGTGTATAGCTGTACGCATGTGTATGTATATATACACATATATACCGATACGATTATGTATCGTGTACGGGATGTATGCCGTGCGCGTGTGTGTGTGCACATATCATATGTATGTATGTATGTGTATATGTATATATGAATATTTGAATGAAAAAGTGGAAGTGTAAATTATTCATCATTTCATTGGACATTCTTCATGATTTGAAAGTTCTAATTTATTTTATAACTTTCCTTCGTTGATTTAAAGAATGGAACAATAAATAGATCCTCTATACACATTATCGATAATAAAGGAAAAATTTTCTGTACGTATAAACTACTTAAAATTCGTTTTATTGATAAAGAGAATTTTATCTTATGTATTGATTATAGAATGAAAGAAATATTATAACGTTATACCAAAAGGTGTGCATTAACAAAACTATACGCGCGTTTTTATGTCTAATCGTGGTAATGTATTGTTGGCGAAACTATTATGTACTAGTTCTTTTGTATTTAAAGAAATTTTATTTATATGACAAATTCAATGAATATGAGCTTCGATAACAAGCTCGATGTATATGTATATTTAGTCTTATTGTGACATATATGTTTAATTGATATTTAGTTTAATTAGTAATTAACAATTGATACAGCGAATCGTTGCAACAAAAATCATAACACTTTTTCCATGCGATTAAATATATAAGAAACTTGCCTGTGTGGGTAAAGTAACAGTAAATGACCGTGTAGATTTGTGCATACAAAACATTACAGTAAAAATTGTTGTAGAAAATGAATATTCGCCTAAGTTAATATATTCTGTTCTATAAAAAAATCATAATTGGCTTATTTAACTTTATTTATGTCTAAAATTAGATATTATTTATACACGTAATAACAGTTGGGAAATTCTCAATTTGCTATTAATAATGCTGAAGCATTAGACGAAAATGAGGACATATTTGAATGA